AAAAACATTCTAACCTACTGTGGTCTGTGGCGGGGCACTGTGGGTGCCTGCCACTTTGGGGGCTGAGCTGGGTAGCCAGCAGGTGCTTGATTGCAGTAGCTGTTTTGAAGCTCTGGCCACCTACGTGGATGGGGCAGTTTGCTGCTGGCAGGCCAGGTGAGGGCGTTGCCTGGCTCGGGCTGTGCAGGGCATCTTGGGGGTGGGGGGCAGGAGCTTAGGGGGATGGTTTGGAGGCTCCCGGTCTTGGGCGTGACCCAGAACTGCACCCTGCTTGGAGTGGGTGGTCTGGTGGGGCTCACAGTGGTGCGGGTGCCCCCAGGAAATGCCAGGCCAGTTACCACCCCAGTGAAAAGCAGGTTGGGGCACCTTAACCACTAGCCCCCATCACACTGTAGGTACAAGAGGGCCAGGCATGGCTATGGCCACCTGAGCCCCCACCGGGGAGAGAAGCGCTGTGGCCCCAGTGAGGGGCAGTGATGTGGAGCCCCAGTGAGGGGGCAGAGATGAGGAGCCCCAGCGAGGGGGAAGCCAGAGGTCTGGGAGCCCAGTATGTGTGTGTGAATGTGTATAGAGTTGCCCCAGGAGGGGCCAGGGCATGCTTAGACCCGGTTGGGTAACTGGCCGGCCACTACCCCAGTGAGGGTCACGGGAGAGACCCAAAAGACAGTACGTCTGCCACCCAAGGTGCATACTAGGTAAAGCCTATGGCCGAAGGGGCCCACTCTGAGAGGGAGCAAGGCAGTACAAGCTGCCAATGGGTGAAAAATACCCTGTGAGAGGGGGTGGCATGTGACAGACCCTATTGAGAGAAGGGCAGTATGAATGTGTGCGTCTGAGTTCTGACAACGAGGCCTAAGTTTGGTCTGGCTGCAGGCCGGAGGCATTGTGTCACCTGGATGCTGTCTGTGAGGCTTGAGCTGCTGTGTAGGGGAGGAACGAAGCTGCAGATAGCACCCCCTGGCATCGGGGCAAGAATGGGCAGCCTCCCGCCTTATTAGAACCAATTAAGAAACAACATGGCACGGCAGACGAGAAGGCGGGCGGTTGGCCCAGAAACAGGTAGGCGGACCAATGGCAGATCAGCCCCGAGAAAGCCCCCTGTTACATGGTCCTTTTTTGCTCTTTGCAACAGAAAAAAACTGCTCCATTATTTTTCTGCAAGCAAAAAACTAGTGAAAACTAGAGCTGGCATTTTCCGAGGGATACCTTGAGGCTAAGGGGTGCCTCAAATCTAAAAAAGGTTAAAAACCATTGTTCCATGCTGTATCCTGCTTTGATCTTTACCTGAAAGTTTAAAAAAAAGCTTTTGGAGTAATGTACTTAGGTCATCAGCTCTGTATGTGTTTAATGGAAACAAATCACTGCATTTTGTTTTTCACATAAACTACAAAAATAGATATTGCTAACTATAAATGTATAGGCTGAGGGTCAGCTAAGAGAACTGAAAAGACTCCCACGCACAATCTAATGGATTAACTGCACTCCAAGAAATCTTTCTAGATGTAAGAAGGATGGCAAACCTTCTTTGGGATTTCAGGTCTCCTACCAGCTTCGCTGACATGTCAGCCCTTGCCCTGCCTAGCTCCTGTGGAATGCATGCTTGACAGAAAAGGGACAATGGTATAACCTCTGCCTCCTCCCCTCCCCACCCCAACCTGTTCCTACAAAAAAAATTTATAGCAGAGCAACTTGATCCTCCTGGATACTAAAAGGACAACAATGAGTTAAAGTAAGGATACAAAACTGTATTAAGTGTGTGCACCAGCTGGCATTCATTCACCACCCCAACAGGAGCTATGTTTTAATGAGTACTCTATGCAGGCAGGTTGTTTTCAGTCTAGAATGCTCAACTAAAGTGCTTAACGTGCAGTGATGCATCCTCTAACACTCAAACAGAAAAATTCTCCTTCTACCCCTATACATCTACGTTTCTTAACAGGCCTTTTGCCCAGCACTGTGCAATCATGTGATGTAACAGTTATTAGCAAGACTGTTTAGCTAAATATCCATAAGAATAGAAATACAAGAGAAGGTTCAATCTATATGATCTCTTCTAAATTACAACTGAATAAGTACTAGCAGTTATGATGATCTGCATCCAGGAAACAACAAAATACATGAGGAGTAACTTTGTAACAAACACTTATGCAACTGCAAAAACACCAGCCAACATTTTTCTAGAGTAGTTTGCCAATTCAGGTAATTCTTCCCTGATACCTTGTAGGGCACCACTTTTCAGAGGGCAGGCTGAAAATAAGCTCCCTGAAGGTATCTCAGAAGTTGACTGTCTTCACAACTGATGCGCCTTAAAAAAAGTCAAATCACTTTTCACCTTTGAAAGTCCTTGTTGTTGACTGTTTGTAAGAAAATGTTAGAAAACTGATGCAGATCCTTCCATCTGTTCATCTCACAATCATTCAATTGCTAATATTTTAAAGTTATTTACAGTTAAATGCCACAGAAATTCACTAGTGGTCTTACAATTAAGAATACCTTAGGATAGAGGACATAAGGCTGGAGGAGGTGGAGGAGGGAACAAAAAACCAACAGGTGGCAGGGGCAAGCTGCTCAACCCCCAGCTATTCCCCTGCTGCATCAGTGGGTGGATAAATTCAAGACAACTCTCCAAAAACTAGATTCTATACATGGAAAATGGTAATAAATACTGGAAGGTCATCTTAGATTTGGATAAATACAGGGTTACAAATACAAGGCATATTATGAGTTACAGCAATACATATAGGAAAGTCCAAGTTAAGATTTGAGATAAAATTTTAAATCTTTCATAAATATTTTCATGAGTTACAAACGCAACCACCCTGAATGACCATGTTGTTTTTATACACATGCTTCAAAATCATGTCACAGTAATATCTGTGCACAAATTAGAAGCATATTAATATTTTACACTCAGGAATCAGTTTACCCAACCATAGAGTGTTAGAATTAATCATAAAAGCAAAAAAACCCCCCAAAAAACGCAGCTCAGCATATACAGTCGTGGCAGCTTTATAATCCCATCCAGAGCACAGAGTCCATCCAAGATCAGCAAGACTCCACCTTTTGGATCACCACCAGCACCTTACTTTTGTGGGGAGCCAAGTACCAGCAGCCCTCCATGGTTAAATTTAGAAGATTCAACAGTTCTATTGGCTAACATGATGCAGCTGCACAAAAAGCCCTGCCCTTTGATTTGGTACAGAGTGTTTGGTTCCCACCCCCGTATTACAAAATAAGACAAACAGCAACGTTTACATGACACTTAGGAATTTCTCCAAAGCAATCACAGAAAAGTAGAACTGAAAAGGACCCTCTCAGTCCAACCCTCTGCTCAAGGCAGTATCACCACAATCCAGATCAGCCTTTATAAATATATATAATCTTAAAAATACATAATTTACCCTGTCACACAACTACAAGGCATACTACTCTCAACCACAAAGAGAACCCTAACCTGCAACAAAGGGATGAGGGCTTTCAGTGACAGCAAGCTTAGTTGAGAGACAAAATGCTGCCTCTTCAGCTAAGATGATTTCCTTACAAATCAAAGAAAAGAAAAAAACATATCTACTGAATTTTTCTTCCAAGGATGTAACTTTCTATTATCCACAAATGAGTCTCACTTTTTTCAGTTTTCTATAACAATACTGATCCCATTTGCTGCATCCTCACATATATGAACTGATATAAATTTACTTTAGAAGAGGTTAAGAGGAGTTATAATTATGTTGATTTAAAATGCAATTTGAGAATTGCACATTTAGTCTCTGGTTCTCTCATTTCTGAAGTTCAGTACACATAGTTTGCAAATGGCAACAGAGGGAGGAGGGAACCAAGTATGCAATTTGTGCCTGTCTAGTCAGAGATATTCAGTTGTGCTGACATAAGAAAGGAAATAATTTTAACTTAAGGGTGGAGAAAAGTATCAATGACCTCTGTATTCCTGGTTGACAGCCACTTTATTTAAAATTATTTTGAATCACTACTGAAGTCTTTGCATTTTAACTGCTCTCTATGCAAGTTGCGTGCACTGTCTAGAACTAAGATCGCAACCAAGCTTCTCTCTCAGAAAAACACAAAACAACCAAAGAAAAACATAAGTATAATTCAAATATCACGTATTGCTGGGCAAATCTTCAGTCGACAGCTCTTTATATTCCATCTGCCCCACCACAAAACCAACTACTAGCATTTTTTTTTGTAGGGAAGAAAAGCTCAGTTCCTGAAATTGACCAATATCTAATATTAAACTTCCCACTCCTAAGTAGACAGGAGAGATCCTAATAGCCAGGGCTACCATTTCATTTTCTGGTAAACTGTATTATCAAGGTGATCTAGTATATGCTGCATCCTAATGAAAAGGCACAACATAAAATGAGACTGCACAACAGAGTCTGTGCTGATCAGCAAACCAGGTAAAATGTCATAGATTTCACAGACATTAGGGCTGGAAGGGACCTCGGAAGATTGAGTCCAGCCCCCTGCCCAAAGGGCAGGAAGTCAGCTGGGGTCATAGGATCCCAGTAAGATAAGCATCCAATTTGCTCTTGAAGGTGTTTAATGTAGGTGCTTGAACCACCTCTG